ACTGCTAGCGACGATCGTGATGATGCTGTTGATGTTGGCGACGAGGATGATTAGGAACATGTGATAAGGAGGACGCCGATGATGATGCTGCTGCTAATGATGATGCTGCTGCTGATGATGATGATGATGCTGATGAGGAAGATCATAAACAGGGAACATCAGAAGGGGAATGATAAGGGGATGGAGAAATCATGAGTGGGTGAGGGGATACATGGTGGGAGAGGATGCGGGAGGAGCGAGGGAGGAAGAGGGAGGAGACTGGAGGAAGATCGAGGAAGGAGGAGAGAGGAAGGATGGCGCGGAGGGATGGCGAGGACGACATGGGAGGAGGAGGACGGAGTAGGATGGACGAGGGTCGGGGCGAGGAGACGCCTCGTCCATGGCCGCGGCTTGCCGCAGCGGCAGCGGCCCCTCCGCCGCCAGGCGCACCCGCGCCTTGAGCTCCGCCCACCGCGGGGAGAACTCGCCGCCCTCGCAGGCGAGGTGCGCTGGCGCCCACTCCTCGCCGCCGCCGTGGGCGGCGACGACGACGTCCACGGCGACGACGGCGGCGACGACGGCGACCACCACCACGACGACGGCGGGCACGACGGCGACGGCGACGACGGCGGCCACGACGGTTACAACCATGACGATCACGACCACGAAGACTGCGACCAAGACCTAAACGGCGACCACGACAGCGACCATGGCCACCACGACGGCGACCACGCTGCAACCGCCATTTCTCGTCGCCAGTGTGGTGGTCGTCGTCGTCGTGTAGGTGGTGGTTGTTGTCGTCGTCGTCGTCGGCGAGGTCGTCGTGGTCGTCGTCGTCGTGGTCGCCGTGGCTAGTGTCGTCAGTCGTCGTTATCGTCGTCGTCGTCGTCGTCGTTGTCGTCGTCGCCGTGATGGCCGTGGTCGTTTTCGTCGCCGTGGTCGCCGAGGTCGTCTGGGTCGTGCGCGGGCGCCTGGACGTTGTGAGTGTGTCGCGCCAAGACGTGGTGGGCCAGAACTGGTGGCGCGACACGCTAAGCCAGAATTCCCGACCGTAGGACCGTCGGGCCCCGCCTTCCCATTTGTCGGGAGGCGTGCTCGCCACTGCCCCTTGCCTCCCTGCGAAGGCTCTGGGCGGCTTCCGCGGAGATCTCCGCGGGGCCTCCCGGGGACCTCCACGGAGACCTCCTCGTCGTGGCCGTCGTGCGTGTCGCCGTGGTCGTCGCCGCGGTCCCAGTCGCCGCAATGGCTGCTGTCGTCGCCCTCGTCGCCGTGGTCGCCGCCGCCGCCGCCGTCGTCGTCATCGTCGTCGTCGTCGCGGCCGCAGACATCCGATGCTTTGATTTTTCAATACGAGGTCACCGGAAGACCCTACACTTTTCACAGGGCCCGTTTCTCGTTTCAGTCGTTTCTTGGCGATCCTGTGGCCCGGCGAGGGCCCTCAAAGGCCCAGAACGACGACTGACCTCCGTCTTGTTTTTGCTGATACTTTGCCTGACTGGTTTCTGGGCCAGAACTCGAGTCCCTGGCGGCCGTTCGGGACGATTCCGGCACCCCTGGAACGCCCGCGGCGAGGCGCAGCTGCTGGAAGGCGTCCCACGGCTGGAAGACCTGCAGGAACTTACGAACGCCCTCTCTTGGATGTCTGGGGTCCCCTCTTTCGCCCCTGGCAATGAAGGCCATGCTCTGGAGCTCGTTGGGGTCCCGGGGTCCGGCGAGGGCCCCTGGAGGCCGAAAAAACGACGGGAAACCTCTGTCGTGATCTTCCCACGACGCTGTATGTCGCGAAAGATCGCAGCATCCAGAGAAAACAGTCCCAAAGCCCCCTCGACCCAATCTTTGAGCGTGCCACTTTCGCGCCATCGATCTGCGAGGGCCATGAGGTCCGAAGCGCGGCAGAACCGCCCGTCGCGAGAAAAGGTAAGCGCCATGATGTTTTCACTGCTGGGGAACCGGACTATAATATACACCGACGCTTTCTCGGGCCCTGCATTCATATAATTTGCAAAGAAAAGGTGGTCCTGATGCATACGGGACCCTGGTGTATGCAGTTTTCGGTGTCCCCCCAGGAAGCGGCACAAGTATGCACCACACCACCCCGACGTCGCCCCCGACCCTCAAAAAGTCCTGGGATGGAAAAACAGCCCGCCAGTGGCAATGTACATGTTCCAATTTCCGAACTGCGTTGATCGGGTCGGGCGAAAGGGGGGGATAGCAAAGGGGGGGTCGTAGAATCAGCTCACGTAGCTGATTTTCCCGGCGCCTCCCGGCGCCGGGAGGCGCCCATGTATCGAGGAATGGGCCCCTCGGTGGGGCCGAAACCAGCTGCATGCAGCAGATTTCGTAACCCCCCCTTTCCCAATCCCCCCCTTTCGCCCGGCCCGAGTTGAACGTCTGGGGCCGCCACCGACCGCCGCCGCCGTCCTCGGGCTCGGCCGGCGCGGGCTCGCCGCGCAGCTGCCCGCCGGGGGCGGCCAGGGCGAGGGCGGCCAGGGCGAGGGCCAAGCGGCAAGCCGCCCCGGCGGGGCAGCGGGGCGCCATGGGGGGGGGCGAGGGGGAGGGAGGAGGGGAGGGGGGGAGGGAGGTGGTGAGCGGGAGGAGGAGGAGGAGGAGGAGGAGGAGGAGGAGGAGGAGGAGGAGGAGGAGGAGGAGGAGGAGGAGGAGGAGGAGGAGGGGAGGAGGAGGAGGAGGAGGAGGAGGAGGGAGGAGGAGGAGGAGGAGGAGGAGGAGGAGGAAGGGGGGGGGGTGGAGAAGGATGTGGAGGAGCAGGTTGGGGAGGAGGACGGGGCGGGGGGGGAGGAGGATCATGAGGAGCTGAGAAGGGGAGGGAGTAAGACGAAACCACGACTAGGACAAAATCGGAATGTTATCGAAAATCTCTGAGATCTGGCGGTTCTGGAGGGTACATCGGGCGCCGCGGCCATTCCAGAGCAAAAGCTCTTGGATAACGTTCTGGAACGCTCTGGACGAACTATCACGATCCTACGCCATACTGAGGGAGAGAGACTGGGGAGGAAGATCGTCGAGAACCCGCCTAACCAGCTCGACCCAGAGAAACAGCTGCGCAACTGTATTCACAAAGTACGTGCCCTCCTGGTTACACATGGCCCGGGCAAAGGCAGCACCGAAGCGCCATTGCAACTCTCGCAACGCGTCCCAGCACAGATCCTGGCCTGGCGGCAACGGACTCAGCAAGTCTGGCACGCCAGCCGCGTCACCAATCGGCATCATGCTGGCAACTCTGTCCCGCTCGTCCCTGCGCTCGAGGCGCGGTTCCGCGTCGCCCAGCACCGCGACCGCGACCCGACGCCGAACCCGATGCCTCCGTCGCATCCTGAGAGTGCACTGTGCACCAAAGTCTGGATCATGCGCGGACGCCGAGCGATAACTTCGCATTGGTTTTGGACAGGGGCGGTGGGGGCGCTGGCCTTTTTCCTGCTGTGTGCATTGCCACCCCTCCCTCTGCCCCTTGCAAAAAGCAGTACCAACATCTGATCATGCACGGACGCCCCGCCATCACTGTGCATGTGTTGTTGGTAGGGACGGCGGGGGGGCGGGCATATTGCCTGCTGTGTCATACTGCAAGCTGTGTGCAATGCCAGCACCCCCCCAGCCCACCCACCCCTTTTTCCCCCCGAGAGCTGAGGGTGGCCGGGGCCACCAGCCATACCCGCGCGGCCACTCCGCCGCCGCAGACAGTGGAGGCCAGTCCGCAAGAAACCTTCCACAAGAAACCCCCATCCCTGGACGTCCATTGATTTATGGTGTGGGAACGTCACGCTTCCCGTAGCAAAAACCATCGAAACCCAAGAAACCCAGGGTACCCTGGGGGCAAGCAGGGTGTTTCTTGGCATGGGTCTCCACTGCACGCTAGACACATAACGCACACGCACATGCTGCCAAGTTTTGACCTCGGCCCTTTGGTCGCACGTCTTCTGCCTTCTGTGGCTCTCTGGAGGCCTCTGGGGGGCTCCTGAGGCTTCCCGGGCGCAATCGAAACCTACGATTTCTCGCACGCCGTCGCAACGTCGCACTGGAAAACGAAGACGAGGCGGATGCCGCTTCCCTGTGCCCTCCGTCCCCCCCCTCTCCGCGTCCTGGGTGACTGGGTGGACGACCATGGCGCAGGCGGAGATGCCGATGTCCTCGCACCGCGGGCTGGGCGAGAAACCTATGTGAGCTGGCGCGCGCGCCCTGGAGAGATACGCGAGAACGGCTGGGCCGAGAAACAGGCGGCAGCGATGAAGACGGGGAGGAGCAGGAGAAGGAGAAGGAGCAGGAGGAGGAGGAGGAGGAGTAGGAGGAGAAGGAGGAGGAGGAGGAGGAGGAGGAGGAGGAGGAGGAGGAACAAATTGATGGGACCGTGCATTTTTTCCGAAACGTTCTGCTGTCCGTGGTGGGGAGGATAGCGAGGACGAGGCACAGATCGACCAGGCCCAGCTCGAGAGTTGCCGCAACAAGATGTCATTTCCAAAATGCAATATCTCACTGTTTGGAGCCCACGCTGGCCAACATTGTTTTAATCATGGACAAAGAGAGAGGAAGACTTGAGATGGAAACAACGACTGAGAATCGGTGATGCACCGCCGATTGATCGGCAATAGGCCCTCGATGGCAAATGCGTGCGGTTCTTGGCGGGGTGGGCTATCGGGCCCCTATCGGCGATCTATGGGCGATTTTGGGGGGGTCGACGCACCCCCAATTGAGCCTGCCCCCCTAAACGTTACCCCCTGGCCTTCGGGTGACAACTCGACTCTCGGGTGCCCGTCCGGGACTTCCCGGGCATCTCCGGCACTCCCTCGGCGAGGCGCGGCCGGTGGAGAGCACCCCGAGGCCGGAACGCCGACGAGAATCGACGGGAACGCCTGAAGACTTCGAACCTCGAACCTGGAGCCGATCTCCCCCGCAACGTGTTGCCCCTCTTTTTCGCGGCGTCGGATCTCAAGGTGTCTGCTCCGCGACACCGCGGCGCGCCGCTGTCGGGGGCGTCCAAGAGGAGGGCGTCGAAAAGGGGGGGGCGCAAATCATGGCCGGCGGCCACACACACAAACACACCCAATCATCACCCCCCTCTTTGCCGCCCCCGACGCTGCCGTGGCGCACGCGGGGCCCGAACAGCCGCCAGGCGGCGCTGGCCAGGGCCAGGGCAGCGCCGTGGCGAGGGGGAGGCCCAGCGACGGGGGCGCAGCGGCCAACCGCTCGGCCAGGCGCTCGGCCAGCTCGGCCGAGCCGGCGCGCCTTGGAGGATTTCTTTTCCCAACCATCCTGTGGTGTTGGGCCCTCGTTTTGACGAGACAGCGCCCCGCATCCTCTCCTCCTCGCCTCCGCTCCTCTCCTCCTCCCCCTCCTCCCTCCTCCCATTCCTGCATCTGCTCGCCGCGTGCCGCCATCACCGTTAGCATCATCATCATCATCATCATCATTATCATCATCGTCATCGTCATCGTCATCATCATCATCATCATCATCATCATCATCATCATCATCATCATCATCATCATCATCATCATCATCATCATCATCCACAAAATCATCATCATCATCATCATAATCATCATCATCATCATCATCATCAACACCACCATCATCATCATCATCACCACCACTATCGCCATCATCCACATCATCATCATCATCATGACAGTCACCAAGGCCAACATCGTGAAGCACCCTTCACCTCCCACTCCTCTCTCCGGCCATCCCATTTTGGCACACCCTCACACCGTTCGTGGCTCCATAGGGAGCTCGAAAGCCCCAGTGGCAGGGTCCGCATGCGTCCCCCCGCCAATGTTGGCGCACCCCTCACACGGTTCGTTGCCCCATAGGGAGCTCCACCGAAGGCCCCAGTGGCAAGGTCCGCATACGTCCCCCGCCCATTTTGGCACACCCAGTAGACGGTTCTTGGCCCCATAGGGAACTCCACCGCAAGCGGCACCCACAACGCGGTGCTCACAACTGCATTTGGTTGGGTCCTTCGCGAAGGTACTCTTCTGAGCCCCCTAGCCCTCGCCATCGCTCGGACGTCCACTCCCCGTGCACGTGTCGGCTTCGTGCGTGTGTTGTTTCGCAAGATGCCCCAATATTCTCTTCAATGGTCCTTATCAACAAAAAAACACACGTCCGAGCGATGCCAAGGACCGGGTCCATCCTGGAACCAGGGGCGGTAGAATCAAAAGACCGCCGGGGCCAAGACAGACACACCTTTATAACGCCCAAGTTCGCCGGAGCCACGTCTCGCGACACTACGCGAGTCATAGCAGGCGGCACGTTCCATGTCATGACAAAGCATACGCTGGCATGGCGTGACGTATCATACCATAAAGTAGCATACCACAGCATCGCACTATACCATAACAGGCCAGGGCATGGCATAACATATCATTACATAACGTGCAATAACATTGCACAACATAACGGCGCCTGCAATGGCATAGCGGAGCATACATAGCAGTGCACACCGCCACACGTCATAACATAATATAACATTTCGTATCCTAGCAGTACATGGCATAACATATAGCCGAGTCACAACATGGCAAATCACATCATAACCGAACACAACATCACACCAATACTGACACATCATACCGTGTCAGAACGCGACATAGCAGAGTATGACACAACAGGTCATACACTAACAGACAACCACATAACCTTACATGTCATGACGGGGCAGAGCATGAGAGAACGCAATACCTAACATGACCTAACATAAAAAAACGCCAAACACATTACAGAGGAACCTCACTAAGTAGCACAACATTCCATAACACACGAACGCAATATAATGCACAATACAGAACTGGACATAATGCAGGCAGCATCACTGAACACAACATGGCATGACGTATCGCAGCATACCGTAACATATGTGAGCAACATTAGACATACTTCAACAACAAAGAAGCACATATGGGACATCACCTGGTACAATACCGTTCTATCGTCTGCTCAAACGCAATGTGCGCGCCGAGGTCAGGCTGGCAACAGGAACCACCAAACGCAATGACGAACGATTGGACGACGTACATAACGTGACACGTCTCACTACGTCACGCCAGTCCGCCGATAACAGGAGAGAGCATGCTAGAGCATGCCATGGCATGACATAATTACATGGAACAGATCTGAGACCTGTTGAATCCAGTAACGGTGGTTTTCAAGAGGAGTGCCACGACACACCTTACCATAACTTACAATAATAAAATCATGAAACACGTTAACGACCTGATCATCGAAAACCATGACTGAACAGAACATGTTATAACATAGCCTGGCGTAACATATCATGCCATAACATGGTGCCACAGGGGAGAGCATACCGTAACATAACAACGCATCACATGACAGTGGAATCCCACCACATAATATAGCATATAACAACATATCATAGCATATAAACATGTACCATAAGGAACTGAGCATACCGTCGGCGGCATTGAACACACCATCGTGGAACATTACCTGACATACTATATCATGTTATAACAGTGTGCCGCAGGGCCGAGCAGAGCGCATAACATCAACTCAGACTGTGGCAGAGGCGAGCACAACATAGCATACTTTATCGGGCGTTGGCGCTTAGTGGGATCTGATTAAGTGATGTGAACCAGAAGTGTCGCCACCCGAAAAACATCAGCTACGGTAGACCTGGTTTAGCGATTATGGTCAATTTTGGGAGCTTCGGGGCCTCACCACTAACCAGCTCCCGTTGCCCGGCTGGGGTCCTGGCTATATCCGATTTTGACAAAAGAGAAAAACGAACGGGAAGACGAACTCCTGCTGCTCCTCCTTCTCCCACTCTCCTGCTGCTGCTCCTCCTGCTACTTCAAAAAGATGAAGACTCTCTCCGAACGAGTTTTGGGGTCTCGCACCACGCGTTTTGGGGGTTGGTTTTTGGCCCCAGGGCATTTTCCGAATTCTTCCGCCCGGGGCTCTTTGGTTGGTGGAGTTTGAGATCTTGACAACTTACGACTCGGCCCGACCGCCGCGCTCGCCGAGACCACCGGGCCCCGCGCGCATCGTTCCCGTAGGCGCGCGCAGCGCCGGGCAACACAGGCCAACAAGGACTCGGAGGGGCTCGCTCGGAGCAAGTTTGGCGGCGGCGTCGTTCACAACTTCCCCGCGGAACACACTGGGCGGCTTGCGAGAACGTATAGGCAAGACGCACTTCCTGGGCCTCGAGGGCCGAGATCGAAGAACACCCGCCGGGACTGCACAGATCACACCGTTGGGCCACTGGTCTTCGGGCCAGACCTCGGGTCTCTGGCGGCCGTGCCTGCGGCAAAGGCGCAGCTGCGGGAGAGAGAGCACCCCGAGGCTGGCAAACCGCCGAGGACCGACGGCCATGTCCGAACACCTCGAGCCGGGGAAACGAACACACACACACACACACACACACACACACACACACACACACAACACACAACACACAACACACAACACACACAACACACACACAACACACACAACACACAACACACACAACACACACAACACACACAACACACACAACACACACAACACACACAACACACACAACACACACAACACACACAACACGCACAACACACAACACACACACAAACACACACACACACACCGATACCGTCTCTCTCCGGGCCTCTCCGGAGGTGCGTTCCAACCATCATTTCGGAACGACTCCAGCAATGGCGGCGGTGGCCTCCTGGGAAGCCTCAAGCGGCCGAACACGAGGCAAGGGCAGCGGTATCAGTACATTCGGACCTGGGACAGGAGAACATCCCTCAAGAACACGAGACCCTCCGCCAGCCAGGATGAAGGGCATTCGAGGGTACCCTCCCCCAGGATGCACAGGAACATGCCACAAACACGAAGAACAGTAGGGTACCCTCTCCGAACCGACCTCGATCGTACACCTCGGTCCGACCGCCCCTTTTCCCCGACCGACGAATGCCGAGCCTAAGGTCTGGGGTCCAGGATGGATCTGGCCAAGGGAACCCTTGCCGTCGCTCGGGCGTCCCTTCCCCGTGTATTCGTCGACCTCGTGCGTGTACTTGTTTCGCAGGGTGATCCGAGATGTTCCTCGATGATCCTCGCAGGAATAAGATGCACACGTCCGAAAGAATCCGCAAGACATCTTTGCAAACGTGGGCAAAACAGCGTGACGCGATCCGGGGGGGAGGGAGAGGGCCGATCACGGCCTTTTTCGCCCAGACCTCAAAAACCACAGGCTCTATATCGGCACCTGCTCCTCCACCGACGAATCCCGAGCCTCGTCGAAGGTCTGGGGGCTCAGGATGGACCTGGCCAGGGGCAACCTTCCCGTCGCTCGGGCGCCCCTCCCCCGTGCGCTACTCGACCGCGTGCGTGCAATTAGTGCTCCTCGCCGTGCGTGCGCTGCCGGGCCGCGCGTATTTCTGCATCGATCCCGTCGCACGGCCTCAAGCCGAGGAGCTGCACCAGGCCCGCCGAGGCGGCGCGCCTGCAAAGCGCGTGCTCGTGGCGAGGCCCGAGGCGCCCCTGGGGCCGCAGCACGGCCGCCACCTGGAGCGGCGAGGGGAAGCACGGGCCTCCGGCGTCGGAGCGCGGGGGGGGCCGAGGGCGAGGGGGGAGCCAAGCGGTCATTCAGTCCCCGGGCGCGTGGCCGAACGGGAGACTCCGCGGTGCGCATTGCTGTGCGCTGCTGTTGAACTCTTCTTCCCAAGCAGCAGCTGCTGTTGCTCCTCGATCCTCGGTGCCCATTTTATGGTTTTTCAAAATTGGTGTGCCCCTCCTGCAGCTCGCACCGTGTGTTTTTTTATACCGAAGACCTTGAAGCTCGGATTGGTTTGCTGGCCCCCAGTGTACAGAAATAGAAGCTTCCGCGGGCTCTCGCGCTGGAATGCCTCACAACCTGCCCAAGAATCGCGCTCTCGCGTCGGACTTCCTCGCAAGTCATAAAAAACGCCACGTCCTCGACACTCAAGAAACTCCTCTCGCTCTGGATGTCTTGAAGATTTACTTCCGAATCGCGCTATCGCTCGAGACGTCCCCGCGATCAACGCACTATTGATGTTTCACAACGAGGCGCCCGCTCGGCCTGGCCGTGTGGGTCCGCCCGCCCCACCCGCCCAATGGGGTCCGCCCGCCCCACCCGCCCGCCTGGTTCTGCCGCTCGTGTTGCTGCTCCTGCTTCCCCTCTTCCTAATCTCTCTCGTGCTCAATCCTTCTCCCTCCCTCCCCCTCCCCTCCTCTCTCTTTCTCCCTCCCCCTTCCTCCCCTCTTCCCTTCCTCTCTCTCTCTCTTCCTAATCCTCCCTCCCTCCCTCCCCTTCTCCCTCCCCTCTCTCTCTCTCTCTCTTCCTAATCCTTCTCCCTCCCCCTTCCTCCCCTCCTCCCTCCCTTCCCCTGCAACTGCACGTGGGGGGCAAGGAAGACAATGCCTCCAGGGGGGGTAGGATGGAAAACGGAGAGGGTGGGTATCGATGGTTCGGGATAGACATGTTGAACGACACGGGATCAAGAAAGCACGATCAATCTTAAACTGATAGCTGAATATGCATGACTAAAAAGTACTTAATGTTGGACCCCCCATATGCGCTTTAGCGCTCTCGTCTCGGCGCTGGCTGCATTTCCTTTGGCATTGAAGCTCACGCTCAAGCGCTTCGGGTGTGCGCCCAAACTGGCACCCCAACAACCACAACAACCCTCCCGTGCGTTACCTCCTATCAGTTTACTCCGAGAGGCCCTGGTCAGAGAGGGTCTGAACCTCAGGAAGGGCGCTCTCTCCTGAAACTTCTTCGCAATTTAGCACCACAAGGGGGTCCTTCAGAGCAGTCTTGCCGCTACTTGAGGATGCTGGAACGGCCGTTTCGCTTCAGACTTCCTCGCGATTTAACACTACAAGAGGATCTTTCAGAACCAGGTTGCTGCTACTCGCGGATGCCGGAACTTCATTTTTTGCATGCAATGTCTTTGCAATTCAGCACCACAAAAGGGGGTCCTTTAGAGCATTATTGCTGCTATTTGCGGATGCAGGAGCGGCCGTTTCGCCGGAGACTTCCTCAGGAGAAGAAAGCACGCCATAAACATAAACTGTTGCCGCTCCGCGCGGATTTCTTGGATCTGCGATGGGGTCCTGGCGCGCGGACTGCCTTCAAAAAGTCTCAGCGACAACGTTCGGTATCGCACAGAATTGGCGAGCGCGGATCCACGAAATCCGCGGAAAGCGCCAAAAGTTTATTTTTATGGCGTTTTTTTCGTGTTCGATTCCTTACAATTCAGCAGCGCAAGGGAATTCATCAGAGCAGTTTAGCCGCTGCATGCGGAAGCCCCAGGACGCTCCAGGAAGATGTGTTCGGAGAGCTTTTTTTCTCGGCTCTCCCGACCCTGGGGGCCCCCGAAAGAATTTGCCCCCAATCAAGCTTGCCTGAGGGGTTCTTACTTGGTTAGAGGTTGGTGCCTCGGATGGTCACTTTGCCCGTTCCTCGGAAGTTCCCCAGGTTCCCCGGGTTCACCAGGTTCCATGGGTTCCTCTGGCTCCTCAAGTTCCCCGGGTTCCTCGGGTTCCTCTGGTTCCTCGGGTTCCTCGGGTTCCTCGGGATCCTCGAATTCCCCGGGTTCCTTGGGTTCCTCGGGTTCCTCGCGGGTTCCTCGCGGGTCCCCAAGTTTCTCGGGTTCCTCGGGTTCCCCAGGTTCCCTGGGTTCCTCGGGTTCCTCGGGTTCCTCGGATTCCCACGTTCCTCGTGTTCCCAGGGTTCCTCGGGTTCCTCGGGCTCCCTGGGCTCCCCAAGCAATGCTAAGCAATGCCAAGCAATACCAAGCAATGCGAAGCAATGCCAAGTAATGCGAAGCAATGCCAAGCAACGCCAAGCAATGCCAAGCAAAACAGTCGGACTCGATTGGACAGAACACGCGAGAGGACACAATACGCTTGCGAGAGCCAAATCGCCGCAGGAATGTAGGAGGCACGGGTCGCGAGGCACAGGACACAAGGGTACTCTTGATCTGGCAGGGTCGACCTACTAATCCGGGCCGACTGTACCAAGCAATGCCCAGCAATGCCAAGCAATGCGAAGCAACGCCAAGCAATGCGAAGCAATGCGAAGCACTGCGAAAAAAAACCAAGCAATGCCAAGCAATGCCAAGCAATGCGAAACAATGCGAAGCAATGCCAAGCAATGCCGAGCAGTGCCAAGCACTGCGCCCATGCAATAGAAATATTTCCCTCCCTTGGCGTCGCTCTAAATTCCTCTGATTGGGATCTCTGCTCGGGGAACGCTTTTCTGCCCCTCCGATCCCATGAGGCCTCAGGAGACACTTTTCTGTACTGAAATCTGTGATCGGGGAACTTTCTTCTGCCCTTCCGCTCACAGGAGGCGCCCAGAGTCACGCTTCCGCATCGAGATCTGTATTCGGGGAGCGCTTTTTTTCTGCCCCCCGCCATCAGGAGGCCCCAGGAGACCCCAAGCAGGCCCAGGAGGCGTATTCGGCTAGTGCGTTTCGGCGCCCCCCCCCCTCCCGTAGGCTTCGCTGCCATTCGCTTCGCCCCCATAGGCTTCGCCGCTCCTCTACTGGGGATCGCACCCTTCGTGCTTTACATCTGCTCCTATGTACTGACCCTCTCCTGGGGCTCCGATCTGTCGTGTTGTACGTATCTTCCTATATATGGCTCCTCGACTAGGACTCGAATCCTTCTTGTGTTGTTTCGCATGTGCCTGCAGATTTCCCATCTGAAGTGGCTCGATCCCTTCGTGTTTCGAATCCCCAACGCCCCAAAGTCGCACCGTTTTTTCTGTGTCGTGAGAACTGAGAATGGGAAGGTGCCTCGGTAGAGGTGTTGGCTCGACCTCCTTGGGCGGGAGATCTGGGTGTGTGAATATCGCCCCCCCTGTTCCCCCAAGAGGGAGTGGCATCATGATGGGTGTATGCGGCATGTAGAAGCATGGCGCAAGAGGGTCACACGACTGCATCCCAATTGCTGGAAAAATTGACCTGGCGCGACTCCAATCAGGGGAAAGCTTCCTATTGTATGGGCGCATTGCTTGGCATTGCCGAGGAACCCGAGGAACCCGGGGAACCCGAGAAACCTGGGGAACCTCCGAGGAACGGGCAAAGTAGCCACCCGAGGGGCCAACCTTTAACCAAGTAAGCGCCCAGTAGGCAAGCCTTGTCGGGCAATGTTGCTGATCCCCCCCGGTGCCCACTGTGTCTATTTCCGCCCCTCCTGTGTGTTGGTATCTCGTTCTGGATAGGACACTGCGGTCGCACGCCCTCCTCTTCTCCCTCCCCCCTCCTGCTGCCTCCTCCTGCGCTGCTAGCTGGAAGGCTGCGAACTGCGCAACTGTGGCCACTTTCGCGCGCTCCTGGGAGGTACGGCGGAGTAGGACAGTAAACGCACCCTGCCGAAATCTCACAGCTCCCAGGGAAGCTGCGAACTGTGCCCCTGTCGCCACTTTCGTGGGCTCCTGGAGGTCACGGCGGAGTAGGATAATAACAGGATCCAGCCGAGACCTTGCAGCTCCCTGGGCGGCTGCACATTGCGCAACCGTCGCCGCTTTCGTGCGCTCCTGGGAGGCACGGCGGAGTAAGGGAGTAAGCGGATGCAGCCGAGAACTCGCAGCTCCCTGAGGGGCTGCGGATTGCTTAACAGTCGCCGCTTTCGCAGGCTCCTGGAAAGCACGGCGGAGTAGGGGCGTCAACGGACCCAGCCGAGACCTCGCGGCTCGTTGAAGGCTGCAAACTGCGCTACTGTCGCCACTTTCGTGGGCTCCTGGGAGGCATGGCGGAGAAGGGGAGTAAACGGATCCAGCCCAGACCTCTCAACTCCCTGGGAGGCTGAAATGTATGCAACTGCCGCCACTTTCGTTGGCTTCTGGGGCCGAGACCTCGCAACTCTTGGGGGGCTGCGGATTGCGCAACTGTCGCCGCTTTCGGGGGCTCCTGGGAAGCACAGCGGAGTAGGGGAGTAAACGGACCCAGCCGAGACCTCGCAGCTCCCTGGGCGGCTGCAAACTGCGCCCCTGTCACCACGTTCGTGGGCTCCTGGGAGTCATGGCGGAGTAGGGGAGTAAACGGACCCAGCCGAGACCTCGCGGCTCGTTGGGAGGCTGTCGTGGGCTCCTAGATGTCACGATGGAGCCGGGGAGCCAAAGGACCCAGCCGAGACCTCGCAGCTCCTTGGGCGGCTGCAAACTGCGCCACTGCCGCCTCTTTCATGCGCTCCTGGGATGACTGCGGAGTAGGCGAGTAAGCGGACCCAACCGAGACCTTGCAACTCTTTCGGCGGCTGCGAACGGTGCAACTGTCGCAACTCTTGCAGACTCCTGGGAGGCACGGCGGAGTATGGGAGTGAACGGATCCAGCCGAGACCTCGCAGCTCCCTGGGCGGCTGCAAATTGCGAACCTGTCGCCGGCATTGTGGGTTCCTGGGAGGTCCAGCAGGGTCGGGGGCCGAGGTCACCCATTTGAGACTTCGCTGCTCCCTGGGATGCTGCGAACTGTGTAACTGTCGCCGCTTTCGTGGGCTCCTGGGAGGTTCGGCGGAGTAGGGGGCCATGCGTGTCCAGCCGAGACCTCGCGGCTCGTTGGGATGCTACGAACTGCGAAAAAGTCGTTACTCCCGTTTGTTCCTGGGAAGCACGGCCGAGATGAGGGCAACGCGGATTGTGCATATCTGGCGAGGTGTTCTCTTGTATGGGGCGTTCGTATAAACTTTCGCCTCGCGTGGAGAAGGGGTTGGGTACGTCACGGGTAAATCAATTTAAATGCTCATCCTGGGGCTCACACCGTGTTTCTTCTTCAAAAGATTGAGGCTCAGACTGCGGCGTTGCCCAACCGAGCTACAACAACAACGGCTCCCGCCTGATACTTCCTCTACTTCCCAACTACATATTCCAACATCGCGCTGCCGCGCAGGACTTGCCCACAGTGTACGCAGGAATCGCGCTCTCGCGTTGGATCCCCTCGCAATGTTTTCAAACGCCGCGCCCTCGGCACTCAGGAATCACTTTCTCGCTCTTGCCGTTTGTTTTGCGATTGCCTGGAAATCGCGCTATCGCTCGAGACTTCCTCGCAACTCATGCAAGACTCACGCTTCAACAACCCGCCTGCTCGACCTGGCCGCCTGGGCCCGCCTTCCCGACCTGCCCGTCAGGGTCTACCCGCCCAATCTGCCCGTCTAGTTCTACCACGTTTTTTATGCTCCTACACCCTCGTGCTGATCTCTCTCGTGCTCCATCCTTCTCCCTCCTCCTTCCATCCGTCCTCACTTCCCGCGTTCTAGAGGCTGCGCCAACTACGCGTGGTAGGTGAGGAAGATCTACCCCAAAGGGGGTACGATCGAAGACGAAGAGGGCGGGTATCGAGGGTTTGGGATATACGTGTTGAATGGCACGCGACAAGGTAGGAGCGATCAATATTAAATTATTGTTAATGTCGTCGTCCTCCTCGCCCGCGACCATTCCCCATGTCCCCCCCCGCAACCCACCCCGCGCCCGGCCCGCGACCCACCCGCGACCCACCCCGCGACCCGCCCGCGACCCACCCGCGACCCACCCCGCGACCCACCCGAGACCCACCCGCCCCATGGCTTTGACGAAACAATCGGCGCTTGCGGCGAGCTCGTTGTATGATGTGTTGAAAAAATCGGCGTCTGCGGAGAGCTTCTTCAGATCCTCGCAACATGCCGACGACCCCGCCGCCCCTCACTCTTATTCGGCCTCCCGGGGCCCTCGCCAGGCCCGGGAAGGTGTGGAAATGTCTCGTGATGAAAAGCGGCTCTGGGGAAAGGGTCGGGGCTTCTGAGGATCCCTTTTAGGGCGACGAAATCTATACATATCCACTGCTCCCTGGCGAGGCCCATCCTGAACCCAGCAGCTGTGTATACGCTGCGCCCTCCTGGCGTGGCCAGGAGGGCGTATGCACACCTCCTGGGTTCAGGATGGGCCTGGCCAGGGAGCAGTGGATATGTATAGATTTCGTCGCCCGACCTTTGGGGGAAAACAAAATTAAGGCATCGGATGTTTGGCAACGGGCCTCACGCCAGAAGACACACCTGCCTCACGCCGCGGCCTACCCGGGCCGTCCGCGTGGCACTCCGCGTGGAGAAGGGGGGCGCAAGCAGCGACCTTGTGCGGGAAGCCCGAGGCCCCCCCCAAAGGGGGTTCCTACAAGCCTCGTCAAAAATAAACAGAAACGCAGATGGAAACCACAACGATCGATCTTCTCGGGCACTCGCTAGAAATTGCGTTCTTCAATGCTGCGGAGGGGTCGTCGGATTTTTGAAGCCCTTGCGTCCACGTCAGATATCTAGCGTCAGCATTGGAGTAGCGCTGACCATACAATCACCGAAAACATAATCCCTCAGTTTATTTTTGACGAGGGTTGTAGTAAATGGGCTCGGAGGACTTCGCCGCATCTCCTGTGCATCGCCTGTGCATCGACGATGCGTCCGCGCTGCATCGACGACTTCGGCGACGCATCGGCGGCGACAGCTTTGAGAACATCGGGCCCCTCATCAAGCCGAATCGCCGATGCATCGGCGATGCGGCGCGATCCTTCAACCCCATCTGCTCCGATCCAATCTGGGAGGCCCAGGGGAGCTCATGCGCGAACGTCCGCGCCGTCGACCCCGCTTCCCTCCGCCACTCGCCTGGAGCCACTCCTCCAGCTGCGGCGTCGCGAGGCAGCGCCCGCGGGCGCCGCGGGCGAGCGCCCTCGAGTCGGCTGAGCTTATGAAGAGTGGCCCTGGGCCCGGACTCCTGACGTGATGCCTTTTTCGTATGAAGGGAACCCCAGAGGTAGGGACCCCGTCCCTGGGACTAGCCTTTCATCATAAGTCGTCTTTTGACGGCCCCGGCGCCCGGTTAAGGCCCCCCCCCGGAGGCCGAAAGAGGCGAAACACCTTCCGTCTTGATTTCTTCGCGACGCGAGGTGTAGGGTGGTGACCCCCGTGAGGGAGGAGGAGGAGGAGGAGGAGGAGGAGGAGGAGGAGAAGGAGGAGAAGGAGGAGGATGAGGAGGAGGAGGAGGAGGAGGAGGAGGAGGAGGAGGAGGAGGAGGAGGAGGAGGAGGAGGAGGAGGAGGAGGAGGAGGGGGAGAGGAAGGAATGGTGGGAGAGGGAGGGAGAAGGACGACCCCCCGAAGGCCAGCTATAGCGATATACCTTCAATCGTGATTTCTTCGCGAAACGAGGGGGTCTGGGTACGCAGGAGTGGTGGCTCCGTTCTTTTGGGAAGACGAAGAAGAAGATGGGAGCGGACAGCATCGCAGAACCTTCACCTGTCACCGCCTGCCGCACGTTGTGTACACGAGCTACACGAGTGGGGACAAACATTCATCGAAGGGCACCCGTGTTAGACCTGACTGCGGGGATCAAAATCGCGTCCCCGAAATCGCAGGAGTGCTGACTCCGTGGTGAGCGGCTTGCCGACCGCTGCGGTGCCGTGAGCGGCAGTGTGCGGCATGGCGTGCTCGGCTCTGGGGCTCTCGCGCGCCACCGAAACGGATCGATCGATTCGACATCTTTGAAGGGGCCCCAGGACACACAAATAAATACACACAAATAAAAATATGCCCCATATTTTTCTCATATTTTCTGGGTTTTTGTCTTCCCCCCCACTTCCCATATTTTCCCATATTTTCCTTGAAATCGACGATTAATTGTGTCTGTGTGTTTTTTCCCCTCCTGAATCTTGGTGGGCACCGGAAACGGCAGGGCAACTTTCTGCCATTTTCAAACCAACTGTCCCTAAACGATGATTGATTGCCACTGCGGGGTCCTGGCTTACATTTCGAAGGAATTGGATGGGTGTCGCGAGGATTCGCCACCTTCCGGCTCGTTGCGGCACCGTTGCCGCCCGCGTGGGGCCCCGGGGATTCGCCACGCTCTGGTCGGCCGTTGCCGTCTGCGGGGATGTCCCGAGGATTCGCCACGATCCGACTTGTTGCCGCCCGTTGCTGCCTGTGGGGGCGTCCCGCGAGTGGCCACGTTCTGGCATGTTGCGGCCCATTGCCGCCTCGTTGCGATTGGGGGGTCCGCCCAGGATTCGCCACGTTGCCGCCCGTTGCCGCTTGACTGCGGCGTGACCACGAAAGATACACCACATAGCTTGCACCACATAATCTACACCACATGGCTTGCACCACATAGTTTGCACATCCACGCTGCAATACCTCCCTGTTTGGGGTCCACGGTGGTTACTTACTCTATGGATGCGGTGATAAAAAACGACCCCAAGAAAAAACGAAGCAACTGCTCTGGGATTGGAACCAAAACCAGAACCGGAACCAAACGTGGAACGGACCTGAGAACAACAACGACACCCGAACCAACAACAAACAAAAACTGCCGAACGGAACCGGCAATCCAAACGGCCCTGTCGTTTCCAGGGCCCGCTGAGCTCGACACGGGCCCTGACCTCTGGAGGGCGGCCAGCAGGGGCAGCCGCGCGCGCGCCGGGGCGAGGCCGCGCTCCCCCGCGCAGGTCGTGGCGAGGTAGCTGGCCACGTCCGCCCTCAGCGCCCCCGTGGCCATCCGCCGCAGCAGCGCCAGGGCGTGGGCCCACTGGCGGCCGACGCGGCAGGCATGCAGCGCGGCGCCGAAGGCGACCTCGTTCGGCGGGGCGTCGCGCGCCCTGCGCGGGGCCAGCAGGCGCAGCGACCACCGCCAGTGCGTCGCGTCTGCGCAGGCCGCGATGGCGGCCGCAGTGGCCACGACGCCGGGGCCGGGGCCATGCCTCTCCAGCTGCGCCCGCCGCAGCCGGCGCAGGGCTTCCTCCCAGAGCGCCCCCCTCTGGCACACGCTCAGCGCGGGGCCGAGCGCGGCCTGGCTCTCCAGTCGCGCGGCCTGGGCGCTGGCGAGGAGCTCCAGCGCGACGGCCCAGCGGGACGCACGCTCGCACGCGGCCACCGCGGTGCTGCAGGTGGCGGCGCCCACCTCCACGCTGCGAGACGTCATCTCCTCGAGGATGCCGAGCGCCTGGAGCCACTGCGCGCTCCGCGCGCACGCGCCGAGCGCCGCGCCGCAGGCCGCCGCGCTCGGCGCCGGGCCGCCGCGCTCGTGGGCCCCGAACAGCAGACGCAGGGCCTGCGGCCAGCGCGAGGCGACGGCGCAAGCGCTGACCGCGGCGCCCAGGCACGCGTCGGTGGGGTCGAGGCGGCGCCCTGGCATTTCGCAGAGGAGCCCCAGCGCCTTGGCCCACTCGCCGGCCACGCCGCAGGCGGCGATGGCGGCCCCGAGCGAGACGGTGGTCGTGGCGACGTGGGCGTTTCGCGAGCCCTCCAGCAGATCCAAGGCCGCGCGCCACCGCGCGCCCCTCCGCTGCGCGCTGAGGCAGGCGCCGACGTAGGCGGCGTCCAGCCGGAGGCCGCCCCGCGCTGCCGCGGCCAGCAGCGCCAGGGCGCGCGCCCACTGCCCGCCCCGCTCGGCGGCGGTCGCCGCGGCGGTGTAGCAGTGCAGGTCTGGCGGCGTGTGCTGGGCGCGCATGCGGCGCAGCTGCCACAGCGCGTGCCCCCAGAGGCTGCCCCTGCCGAGCGCGGCGAGCACGGCGCAGTACGTCGCCGCCGTGGGCGCCGGGCCCGCGTGCAGCATCCCGCGGAGGAGCAGCAGCGCGCGGCGCCATTCGGTGGCCCGCGCGCAGGCTGCGATGGCCTCGTTGCATGGGCGCGCCGCCTGCTGGGGGAACGACCCTGAGATCTGGGCGTTGCTGATTTTTCTTCACTGAAAGGGGAACTGGGGCACACAAATAAATAGACACAAGTAACCAGATCCCCCATATTTCCCCAAATACTTTCTGGGTTTCTGTCTTCCCCCCACTTCCCATATTTTCCAATATTTTCTGGGGAGTCGGCGATGAATTGTGTCTGTGTGTTTCTTTCCCTCCTAATTCACCCTGGGCGTTTTCGCCGGGGCCCAGGGGCCATCGCCAACGATCTGGCTCGAACCAGGCAGCAGAAAGGTGGGGTCTGGGCTGGGCGCGCCCTGGCCAGGACAACCGGGGCGAGTCCGGCCGTGGCGACGAGGGGCCCCGGGCAGGTCTCCAGAGGCGGCAGCCAGGGAGGGGCACCCGTCGGAGTGAGCGGCTTCTGCTCACGCGAATCCACTCCGAGTCGTACAGGTGCTGTCGGCGCCGGGTGAACGTCGCGAACATCAGCAAGCATGCCCTAGACCCAGACATGCGACGTCCTGGTTTTTCCAGGACGGGGTCCCTGGAAGTCCCGACCCTTTCCCCGGGACCAGTTTCTCATCCTGAGTCGTTTTTTGACGCTCCCGAGGCCCGGCGAGGGCCCCCCGAGGCCGAAAATTGTCAAAAACCTCCCGTCCTGATTTTTTAGCGACGCGAGCATGTCTGGGGACCCCAATCATCCGCGGCAGTCCTCGAGGCAGATCGATACGTGAAGGCACCGGACCTCGGATCTCAGGGACGGTGCAAGGCCACTGGCGGCCGTCCGGGACCATCTGGGCACCCCCAAAAGACTCTCGGTGAAGCGCAGCTGCCGCGAAGCATCCTGCGGGGAGAAAGCCTCGAGGAACCAACGAAGACGTTTGAAAACTTCCAAACGCCTCCCGAACCCGCCGAACACGGAACGCCGCTGCGTCTATCCGCTCCTCCCCCCTAACACCGACCTTCTCCCGCCAGCAGCTGCCAGCTCGAAGATAAGCGACCAGAGCTCTTTACCCGTGACTAGAAAAGGAGAGGATCCATTGCTGCCAAGGCTTCCGACTCCGACGCCGACCTCCTCCACCATCTCCTGCCCGAGCGACTGGGGCTCGGGGGCCTGGCGAGGCCCGACCTCCGGGGCGCGGTCTCTGTTTGTTTGGGCGCCGCCGAGCCCAGTTGGAGCCACAAAGGCTACACCTGGTGGGCCTCCCCCTGGAATTGGCCTCCTCTTTTGGCGACGCCACGGCGCTCCACCTGCTGGGGCTCCAACTGTGCTTCGCCCCATCCTGGGAAACTCCCAAGAACCCCAAAACCCTCGGGATCTCAACAGGAGGAGGAGGAGGAGGAGGAGGAGGAGGAGGAGGAGGAGGAGGAGGAGGAGGAGGAGGAGGAGGAGGAGGAGGAGGAGGAGGAGGAAGGGAGGAGGAGGAGAGGAGGAGGAGGAGAAGGGGAGGAGAAGGAGGAAGAGGAGGAGGAGGAGGAGGGGGAGGAGGAGGAGGAGGAGAGGAGGAGGAGGAGGAGGAGGAGGAGTTCCCAGACATCCGGCTATTCTTTGGGGGGGGGGCCAACCCGCGGCCCCGAGTGTCCCGAGCCCTTCCCTGGGGACAGCTCTTCCTCCTAGATCCGTTTCTGACGGTCCCTACCCTTCCGCCCTTCTCTTTCGACATGATCGGTGTGGGTTCCCTCGAATTGCGCACGGCCTCCGTGAACTTCGATGAATTCTGCCGCACCTTCCGCGGATGTCGGACGGCAGATGGAAGGTGGAGGTGGAGGGCAAGCCGACATCGACGAACAACGCCACGAGAATGAACAGCTCATGCGCTCGGGAACTCTTGCTTCGCGTGTCGCCGCGGCGGCCCTGGCGACGCGCAGTGCCGTGCGAGGAGCATGGCGCCTCGCTCCGCTCCGCCGGGCGGGAGGCCTGGAGCAGCTCGGGACGTGGACGTGGCCGCCGTGGGCCCGGGGGCGCGGGCGAGCACGCCGAGCCGCAGCGTGGCGGGCCGGGGCCGGCGGCGCGCCACGCCGAGCTGCACTGCCTGGCCGCACCGTCGGATCCCGGGGGCCCTGCGACCTCCGAGGCCTGCCGCCCTGGCCCTCCCCACGGGAGCCCGCGGGGCCCTGCCCCCCGCGGCCCCTCGCGGCCCCGGGGGCCCGACCGCGGGCCCCCGAGGCCGAGCTCTCGCGGACATATGCGTGCGCGGGGGACTGCACGCGCACGCGTGGCGAGGAGCACGCGCGGCGACGCACCGCGCGGCGACCTCGGAGCCCCGGGAGATCTCGCCGCGCGGTCCGTGGAGATGCCCCGGTCGCCCGCGAGGGCCTCGGAGCTCACGGCCTGGCCCCGTGCCCCCACGGGCTCACCACGCGGCGTGGTCGCCACGCCGCGCGGGGCCCGCGAGAAGGGCTCGTGGGCCTCCGGGGCCTGCCCCGCCCACGCGGGAGGGCAGGACGCGTCGGCATCGAATCGGCAAGTCGGAGCCAATCGAGCTGTGCATCGGAAGGGTCTGCTCTTTTGTGCCTATACCACCTGGGAAGACTTCTGGCATTTACTCCTTCACACTTTACACCCCTACTTCTTTACCAACTTGTGCATACATCAAACCGAGTGGGACCGGCGGCGCCGGGACGCACAACAGCGCCGCGCGAGCGTCAAGCCGCATCGGGCCGTCGGAGCATCGGAATCGAATCGGGTCGGGCCAGCGGAGAGTCGAGATCGAATCGGTCCGATCGGACCGGACTGGACCCTGCTCTGGGCACTTCGGCCTCCTGGGCCACCGCCCCCACTCGGGCGCAATCTGCCATGGGCCAGGGGTCCGCGAAGCTGGCGCGTGGGCGCCAAATCCACACGCATCGGGGACGGCACGCCCGACACATGAAGCCGGTGTCGCCGCTCAGTCGGCGACGGCGCGCGTCGATCTCTGGCATGGAAGCGGGACCCGTCGCTGAGCCACGCGCCCTATCATCCGTGCGTCGCCGCGCCGCTCGTCCTCGACGCGCCCCAGGTGGCGACGCCGTCGCTGCGGCAAGCCCACGGGGAGCCCCGCGCCCCGCGCCCCGGCAAACGCAGCATGCACCGCGGCGAACCCCACGGCAAACCCGCCGCGACCGAGGCGGAGTTTGCCCTGGTGCCCGCGGCGCCCTCCCCGAGACGGAAGTCCGCGCGTCGGAACAATTTTGGCGTCGGCGGCGAGGCAGGGGTCGTCTGCGCTAGCGGGAAGGCCTGAACGGGGGTGCCGTTCGGGCAAATTGTGCCACCACGCAGGAGGGGGAGCAGGAGGAGAACGCCGGGGGGCGATCGCCAGCAAGATTTCGAGGCAATGGTTCTGGCCTCCGACCTCGTGGCTTGCTCGAGGCGTGCCCCCTGCAGCACAAGGCCCCCTCTCGCAGACCGCCGTGTCTTGACGGTTTCGAGGCCCGAACAAGGGGCCCCCCGAGGCCGAGATTGGCCAGACACCTCGGTCCGTGATTGCTCCCCGCGGCAGGGCCTGCGCCCCCGCCCGCCGCGGCGGGAGCGGGCCGCGCCCCCCGCCGCGGCGGGCGCCACCGGCTCGGCGGAGGATGGCGGGCGAGCGGGCGGCCCCGCTGCCCCTGGGGTGGAACGGGGGGGCGGCCAGCTCCACTTCCTCGAGGAGCCTCCTCCTCCTCCTCCTCTCCTCCTCCTCTCCTCCTCCTCCCTCCTCCTTCCTCCTTCCCTTCCCTCCCTCCTCCTCCTCCTCCTCCTCCTCCTCTCGCAGCGCCATCGGGCGTCACCCGCAGCGCCCCCCCCGCGCCCGCCGCGCGCTCCCTGGGCGCGACGGCCGCGCGGCGGCGGACCCGTTCTGCAAGGGGGGAGGGGGAGAGGCGGAGCCACCCACACTCCTAACTGAGACCTCGGAGGGGGAGGGGGAGGTGAGTGAAGCGGCGTGGCCAACCAACCGTAGATGCAGAACGTACCGAGGACGCAATACCTTGCCGGTAGCGTACTACACTGAGTACCTTGTCTGTAATGTACACGATTTCGATGGTGGTGCTACAGCGCGAAATGGATAGACGTAGCAACTTTTGGTTTACGTGTGTACCCCTTGTCCGTGGCGATGAAATTGGTCGTGTTCATCTCTGGTTCCAGACAGTCCAGTCTCGCCATGACTCCCCGGAGCGGTCGCTTGCCAAGTGGTCGTGCTCAGCTGCCCACCTGTCCTTATTTGAGTCGATGTTGTGTGGTTCTCGCTGCTTTCCTCGTGTGCCACGTCGGCTCCGTCGTCGCACTCGTTTTTCTCCGGTCGTCGTAGAAATTCTGCGGCGAAGATTGGCATAGGTCACTGGCCCAGAAGTAGAGCGCTTCTATGCCTCCTGAAGGTCCCAACGCGCGGATCTTCGCGTCCCATCCTCGTCGTGTCGGCCAATGCTCATGTCTATGGGCGCCATCGTGCCGTGGGGTTTGCTGTACGCGTGGTTCGTAAGTTCGGATATGGCACTGATTGCGAAGGCCTCTGTGATTGCCTGTCCCTTGGCGGTCATGGCCGTGAGGAACTCCAGCCCCTGGAGCGCGGCGTACCTGACGAGGATGGGCTTGTCCCGCTTGTCACTCTTCTCGTCCTCTCGTGGCCCTCGTAGCTCAGCCGGTGGCTCTCGAAATTCTCTCCTGCTGCCCCTGTCGGGTGGCCGTCGTAGCCGCACCAGGGACTCTAGAGGCTCCGCTCGTGAACCTTGTAGTTCAGCTGGTGAAGCTGCTCTGCTGGAGGCCCTTGCTGCTCAGCTCGTGTCCCACGCAACTCAGCACCTGGCCTTTGTGGCCTTGCTGGTGGTGGCCTTGGTAGTCCAGCAAGTGGTCCTCGTAGCTAGGCTTGCCGACCTCGAAGCTCAGCTTGTGGCCCTCGCAGCCATGCAGGTGGCTCTGGAAGCTCAGAGGGTGGCGCTGGTAGCCCCACTGGTGGCTCCTGTAGGTTTGCTTGTGGCCTACGTGGCTCAGCAGGTGGTCCTCGTAGCTGAATGGCCCTCGTAGCTCGGCAGGTGGTCCCGTTACCTCAACTGGTGGCTGTCGTTGCTCTGCGCGCAGCCATCGTAGCTCAGCGTGTGGTCCTCCAAGCTCAGCTGGCTCTCGGAGTCCTGATCGTCACCCTTGTATCTTGGCTTGTTGCCCCTGTAGTTCAGCGGGTGACTCTCGTAGCTGTGTCGGGGGCTCTCGAAGCACCACTCGTGAAACTTGTAGTTCAGCTGGTGGCGCTGGCAGCTCCACTGGAGGCCCTCGTCGCCCTGCACGTGTTCTACGTAGCTCGGCTCGAGGTCTCCGTAGCTTCGTTGGTGGCCCTCGTAGTTCAGCGGGTGGCCCTCGTAGCAGCCTTGCGGACCTCGAAGCTCAGATAGCCCTCGCAATCCTGCAGGTGGCTCTGGTAGCTGAGCTGGTGATGTTGGTAGCAGCGGGAGGCTCTCGTAACTCTGCGCGCGGCCCTCGTAGCACAGCTGTTGGTCCTCGTGGTTCAGCATGTGGTCCTCGTAGCTCGGCTGGCTGATGGCTCTCGTGGCACGGCATGTGGCATTGGTGGCCCAGCTGGTGTCACTCGTAGCTCTGCGCGCGGCCCCCGTAGTACAGCTTGTGGCCCCCGTAGCTCAGCTGGTGGCTCTTGAAGCTCAGCTGGTGCCCCTCGATGCTCTGCGAGTTACATCGGAAGTTCAGCAAGTAGTCCTTGTAGCTCTGCTAGTGGCCTCTGTAGCTGAATAGTTGTCTCCTGGGCTTTCATTCATGCCTCGCTGGGCCTCCTGGGCCTCCTCTGCCGTCTTGGCCTCCTCGGCCTTCCTGGACTTGTGCCAGTGATGCTTGGCGGCGTAGTTGTACAGGGCTTCGTAGTCCTGGTAGTTCTGGCACAACATTGTAAGCCTGGTGGTCGTCGTAAGAGTATAGGTCGCTAGCGAACGCGCTGTTGTAGTTGTATTCGTCCTAGGCGGCGCGGCCGTAGTCATACGCCTCGTCGGCGGGGCGGCCGTTGTCCACCAGTGCCTCCACGACGACGTATTTCGTGACCTCTACGGGCTGCTCGGTGGTGTCGTCCCAGGTGTCGGCCTTGTTGGAGTAATGGTAGTGGTACTCGTGCTCGGGCTGCGGGTGCGTCTCTGGGTAAGTCTCCTTCAACAACAGGTGGTGGTTGATGTTGCAATCGCAGGCAAAACTTTGGCTTCTAATCATTTCGGGGTATTCCACGTCGATGCTGATGATGTTCGTATGGATCCTGATGTACATCACTCTGATATTGGGGATGATCCCGCAGATCGTACTGTCTTTTCGCGCGGATCGTCAAGTGCTTGGTGGCGAGCGGATCGCACGGCACGCCGTCCGCCGCGTGGCGGACAGCGCGCTCGGGCCAGTCCCCCCTCCCGCGGGTGGTGCCCCCCCCCCCCCCCTTCCCCCAGGGGCCAGAGTGGCCCTCCCCCTCCTGCGCAGGGACGCGGGCCCCCTCGGCGGCCGAGCCGACTGCGCTGCCATCTGCTCTCGGGTCCTCGAGTCCATCCTCCTCCATTCTCCTCCTCCTCCTCCTCCTCCTCTTCCTTTTCCTCCTCCTCATCTGGCTTCCTGTGCTTCTTCTCACCTTCCTCCTCCGCCTCCTCCTCCTCCGCCTGCACCTCCTCCTCCTCCTCCGCCTCCTACCCGCCTCCTCCGCCTCCTACCCACCTCTCTCGCTCCGTCCTTCTCTCGCTCTTTCTTTCCCTTCTTTTCTCCCTGCTCTTTCCTGTCCCTCCTCCTCCTCCTCCTCCTCCTCCTCCTCCTTCGAGCTCCGAGCTGCGGAACTTTGGTTCCCACTCCTCCTCCTCCTCCTCCTCCTCCTCCTCCTCCTCCTCCTCCTTCTACTCCCCCTCGTTTCCCCTTCCTTCTCTTCCTCCTCCCCGTCCTCCTCCTCCTCCTCCTCCTGATCCTCCTCGTGCTGCTACTCTTTTCCGTTTTCCTTACTTCTAGCTCCTCCTCGCGCCTCCAGAGGTGTCCGTAGGGCGGGCCGGACGTTTCGCCTGAGGCTTCCTCACCATTGTTGATCCTGAGAAGCTGGAAACTTACAACTGTTTCACTCATGGTGGGCGGGTCATTTTCAACATGTGGCTCTCGCGTTAGCGCCGCGCACATTCGCCTGACAATCTTGCATCGGCTTCACGGATGGAGGCGGCTCCTTTTCGAAATGCGCCCCTAGGTCCGCGCACATCCGTCTTAAAAGTTTGCAGCAGCTTCAAGGCTGGGGGGCAGGCTGTTGTCAAACTATGGCTCTCGCATTAACGCTGCGCACATTCGCCTTGAACGTTTGCATTAGCTTCAATCATGGAGGGCGGTTCCTTTTGAATATGTCGCTCTCGCCTTGGCGCCGCGCACATCTGTCTTCAACGTTTGCAGCGGTTAGACATCTTCGTAGGGTTGACGTCCCATCACTGGCGTTCTGGCGCGGTCCAGGGCTGTGCGGACGCAGCAGTCACGTCGAGTCGTAGTGTTGGAGTCCAAAAAACGGCATCCCGGCACGATTTGGAACTGTCAGGACGCAACAGTCGCTTTGACCCGTGGCGTTGAAGTCCCAGGAATGGTTCCCTGCCGCGCCTGGGGGTTCTCAAATGGTTGGTGTCCAATGCGTGACGTCCCGCGATGAAAAGAACGTTTTGTTGGGACCTACGAGGAGCGAACTTGGAGGGAGGGTGTGTTGCAACATCGTTGATGCGTCTTGGGTTTGCACTGTTCCTCTTCCTCCTCCTTCCTACCCCTCCCTCTCCTCTTCTCCCTCTTCTTCTCCTCCTCCCTCCCTCGCTCCCTCCTCCTCCCCCAACTCCTCCTCCTCCCCCTTCGAGCTTCGAGCTGTGGACCTATACTTCCCATTCCTCTTCTGGCTCCTCCTCCTCCTTCTGCTCCTCCTTTTTCCCAACCATCCTGTGGTGTTGGGTCCTCGTTTTGAAGAGACGGTGCCCCGCGTCTCCTCCTCTCCTCCTCCCCCTCCTCCTCCCTCCTCCCCCTCTTCCCTGCGTTTCACCCACACAGTACAGCGTTTCGTAGCCCCATAGGAGCTCCACCGAAGACCCCAGTACCCGCGCCCGCATGCGTCACGCACACCCAATTCGGCACACCCCTCACACGTTTCGTGGCCCCATAGGGAGCTCCGCCGAAGGCCCCAGTGGCCGCGCCCGCATGCGTCACGCACACCCAATTCGGCACACCCCTCACACGTTTCGTGGCCCCATAGGGAGCTCCGCCGAAGGCCCCAGTGCCCGCGCCCGCATGCGTCACGCACACCCAATTCGGCACACCCCCTCACGCTTTGTGGCCCCATAGGGAGCCCCGCCGAAGGCCCAGTGCCCGCGCCCGCATGCGTCACGCACACCCAATTCGGCACACCCCTCACACGTTTCGTGGCCCCATAGGGAGCTCACGAAGGCCCCAGTGCCGCGCCCGCATGCGTTCACGCCCCCCATTTGGCACACCCCTCACACGTTTCGTGGCCCCATAGGGAGTTCCACCGAAGGCCCCAGTGCCCGCCCGCATGCGTCCACACCCATTCGGCACACCCCTCACACGTTTCGTGGCCCCATAGGGGAGGGAGCTCCACCGAAGGCCCCAGTGCCCAGGCGCGCCCGCATGCGTCACCCACCCATTTCGGCACACCCCTCACACGTTTCGTGGCTCCATAGGGAGCTCCGCCGAAGGCCCCAGTGCCCGCGCCCGCATGCGTCACCCACACCCATTTCGGCACACCCCTCACACGTTTCGTGGCTCCATAGGGAGCTCCACCGAAGGCCCCAGTGCCCGCGCCCGCATTTGCATTCACCACACCATTTCGGCACACCCCCCTCACCGTTTCGTGGCGCCCCATAGGGAGCTCCCCGAGGTCCCAATCCCGCGCCCGCATGCGTCACCGCACACCCATTTCGGCACACCCCTCACACGTTTCGTGGCCCCACAGGGAGCTCCACCGAAGGCCCCAGTGCTGCCGCCCGCATGCGTCACGCACACCCATTTCGGCGCACCCCTCACGCGTTTCGTGGCTCCATAGGGAGCTCCACCGAAGGCCCCAGTGCCCGCGCCCGCATGCGTCACCCACACCCATTTCGGCACACCCCTCACACGTTTCGTGGCTCCATAGGGAGCTCCGCCGAAGGCCCCAGTGCCCGCGCCCGCATGCGTCACCCACACCCATTTCGGCACACCCCTCACATTTGGCTCCATCAGGCGCGTCCACCGAAGGCCCCAGTGCCCGCGCCCGCATGCGTCAACCACACCCATTTCGGCACACCCCTCACACGTTTCGTGGCCCCATAGGGAGCTCCGCCGAAGGCCCCAGTGTGCGCCCGCATGCGTCCCGCACACCCATTTCGGCACACCCCTCACACGTTTCTTGGCCCCATAGAGAGCTCCACCGAAGGCCCCAGTGGGTGTGCCCGCATGCGTCCCGCACACCCATTTCGGCACACCCCTCGTACGTTTCGTGGCCCCGTAGGGGGCTCCACCGAGAAGATATTCACAATTGCAGTATTCACAATTGCATATGGTTGGGTCCTTCGCCAGGATAATTTTCCAACCATCCTGTGGTGTTGGGTCCTCGTTTTGAAGAAACAGTGGCCCGCGTCCTCCTCTCCTCTCCTCTCCTCTCCTCTCCTCTCCTCTCCTCTCCTCTCCTCTCCTCTCCTCTCCTCTCCTCCTCCTCCCCCTCCTCATCCCTCCTCCCCCTCTTCCCTGCGTTTCACCCACCCAGTGCAGCGTTTCGTGGCCCCATGGGGAGCCCCACCGAAGACCCCAGTGCTGCCGCCCGCATGCGTCACGCACACCCACTTCGGCACACCCCTCACACGCTTCGTGGCCCCATAGGGAGCCCCACCGAAGGCCCCAGTGCTGCCGCCCGCATGCGTCACGCACACCCAATTCGGCACACCCCTCACACGTTTCGTGGCCCCATAGGGAGCCCCACCGAAGGCCCCAGTGCTGCCGCCCGCATGCGTCACGCACACCCAATTCGGCACACCCCTCACACGTTTCGTGGCCCCATAGGGAGCCCCACCGAAGGCCCCAGTGCTGCCGCCCGCATGCGTCACGCACACCCAATTCGGCACACCCCTCACACGTTTCGTGGCCCCATAGGGAGCTCCGCCGAAGGCCCCAGTGCTGCCGCCCGCATGCGTCACGCACACCCAATTCGGCACACCCCTCACACGTTTCGTGGCCCCATAGGGAGCCCCGCCGAAGGCCCCAGTGCTGCCGCCCGCATGCGTCACGCACACCCAATTCGGCACACCCCTCACACGTTTCGTGGCCCCACAGGGAGCCCCACCGAAGGCCCCACTGCTGCCGCCCGCATGCGTACGCACACCCAAATCGGCACACCCCTCACACGCTTCGTGGCCCCATAGGGAGCCCCACCGAAGGCCCTAATGCTGCCGCCCGCATGCGTCCCGCACACCCAATTCGGCACACCCCTCACACGCTTCGTGGCCCCATAGGGAGCTCCACCGAAGGCCCCAGTGTTGCCGCCCGCATGCGTCCCGCACACCCAATTCGGCACACCCCTCACACGCTTCGTGGCCCCATAGGAAGCTCCACCGAAGGCCCCAGTGGCGGCGCTCACATGCGCATGCGTCCCGCACACCCATGTCGGCACATCCCTCACAAATTTCGTGGCCCCATCATCCACTGGAGGCCCCAGTGGCGGCGCTCACATGCGTCACCCACACCCACCACATTCGGCACACTTTTCACACGTTTCGTGCCACCATAGGGAGCTCCACCGAAGGCCCCAGCAGCCGCGCTCACATGCGTCCCCGCCACCCATCCCGGCACGCCCCTCACAACAACAGGTTTCGTGGCCCCATAGGGAGCTCCACCGAAGGCCCCAGTGGCACCGCCCGCATGCGTCACCACCCGCACCCAATTCGGCACACCCCTCACACGTTTCGTGGCCCCATAGGGAGCTGCACCGAAGGCCCCAGTGGCGGCGCTCACATGCGTCCCCGCCACACATCCCAGTACACCCCTCACGCGCTTCGTGGCCCCATAGGGAGCTCCACCGAAGGCCCCAGTAGCGGCGCTTACATGCGTCTCCGCCACCCATCCCGGCACCCCCCCCGCAGCAGCATCATGTTTCGGGGACCCATAGGGAGCTCCACTGGAGGCCCCAGTGGCGGCCTTCACATGCGTTTCCGCCACCCATGTCGGCACGCCCCGCGCGTGTTTCATGTCCCCATAGGGAGCTTCGCCGAATGCCCCAGTGGCACCCATCTCGACACACCCCTCACACGTTCCGTAGTCCTATGGGGAGTTCCACTGAAGATGAAACCCGCAGCTGCGGTACTGACAACTGCATATGGTTGGGTTCTTCGCCAGGCTAATTTTCCTCCGCCTTCCTTTCTCTCTTCTCCACCCCTTTCCCCTCCTCCCCTTCTCTCTCCGTCTCCCCTTCACCTTTGCTGCTTTCCTCCTCCTCCTCCTCTTCTCTTTCCCTCATCCTCCTCCTCCGCTTTTCCCTCCCTCTCCTTATTTCCGATGTTCTCGTCTTCCTCCATCTCCTCCTCCTCTGCCTCCCTCCCTGCCTCCCTCTCTCCGCCTCTTCCGCCTCCTCCTCTCCTCCTCCTTCCTCCGCTTCTTCCTCCTTTGCCTCCTCTTTCTGCCTTCCTTCTCCTCCTCCCCCCCTTCTCCCCTCCTCCTCCCTCCTACTCTTTCTGCCTTCCTTCTCCTCCTCCTCCTCCTCCCCCTCCTCCTCCTCCTCTTCCATCCTCCCATTCCTCCCCTCATCCTCCTCCTCCTCCCCCTCATTTTCTCCTCATCCTCCTCCCCTCCCCTCCCCCTTTCCTCCTCTTTACCATCCCCCTCCTCCTCCTCCTCCTCCTCCTCCTCCTCCTCCTCCTCCTCCTCCTCCTCCTCCTCCTCCTCCTCCAAAAGGGTCACCACCCCAGGCCCCCTCCCGTTACGCAAAATGACGCAGAAAAAATACAACTTTCGGCCTCAGGGATCACAGGGCCCCAGGACCGTCAAAAACCGGCTCGGCGACGCCAACAAACAATGACGGCCGAATTCCCTGTTGTGCTCGGACTCCCGAGGCCGCTTCCTGGCCCTGGGGCCCTCAAGAAACGACTCAGGACGAGGAGCCAGCCGTGGGGAGTGGGTCGGGGGCAAGGGTCCCGAGGGGGCTTCGCGACGTCGGAGGAGAGAGGGGGGGGGGGGCGAGCGAGCGAGAAGCCGCACGCCACTCGGCGCGTGGGCAGCTGAAACCGTGCACTGCTGGGGCAGGGAGGTCAGTGCACAGCGCGGCCGTAGAGCGCAAGCTCGTTGCAAATTGATGTCGCGCTCGTTGGGGTCACCGGTGGGCTCCTCAGACCCTCAGAACCGCCACTGCGGCCGCGCCAAGCCTCCCCAGGCGCTCTAAGGTCGTCCAGAGACCTCCTCGATCCTTGGTCGAGCCCTGAGATTCGACGTCGCGAGCCAAGCTGCAACACCGTGGGAAATCATGACCGGAGCCTAGACCCAAATTCCCAATTGAATGTTCCCGAGCCGGATCGATCCTTGAGGGCCCCGCGAGCCCCGAAACCGGGCCAAAACGCCCAGTGTGAAACATCGCAACGCGCGGGTCTCGGAGGACCTCATCGATCACTCCTTTCTCCGAGGAGAATCTCAGCCTCCCGACGGCGTGAACTTCATGTTGGCAACGCGGATCTCCAGAGGTCTGGGCCCCTTCCCGGGGACCAGCTTTTCATCCCAAGTAGGAAAACAAACATCGCCGTTCGCATTCTTCACCACGCGAGGGGATCTGGCGTTGGATGGTGTTGGCGACCTCCCCGGGAGGTGGCGGCCCCCTCCCCTGGCCAGACAAGCCGAAAAGCTGCATGAACATGAGCGCGGATCTCTTGGATCCACGCTGGACCCTCTCGCTGGGCGCGCGGAGCGCGCCAGGGGCGGCGCCGGAGGCGCACCCAGGGGGGTGCAGCGCCAATCCAAGAAATCCGCGCGGACCTCGTAAGGTTCACTTCTTTACAGTGAGGGCATTGGGTGAGGAACCCTTGGCTGAGGAGTCCATGCTCTGGAAGCTGGTTGGACTCGAATGGTGGATGGGCCATGGAGGCCACTGCGGCCCTCGTCAGGCACGGGGTCCTCCAGGGTCTGGAGCCTCCGAGTAATTAGGAGGTCAACTGCAGAATTACTTCACCCCAAACTTGCTCTGTTCAGTCGAATATACGAAAAGACGCGGAACCTGCGTAGATCTACGAACAACATCCCACGTCATTTTTATTGGTCGCCGATTCGACGCCAACTCTCTATTTTGGGGGGCAGATCGATTCTCTAGCCGATCTCCTGCTCGAAGCCTCCTGGGCACACTCCCCGACGCACGTCCCCACCGCAGGCCCGCTCGTTGCTCCTCCGGTTGGCGCTGCCTGGCCTGCCCCGGCGGGGCGCGGCGCGGCGCGCCGCTCCGCTGGTGCGGCCGCGAAGCTCCGCCGGGCAGCGCGCCGTTCGTGGGCGGCCCCCCCGCGCGCGCGCGCGCGACCGCGCGCGCGCGGCCCACGGCGGGGGGGCACGCTGCGAGGCGGAGGGGGCGTGGCGAGAGCAGACCTGCGGGAAGCGAGCCCAACTCTCCGGCAAAGGCATGCTTTTGCAGTCCGTGCGCCGCTCCGTCGGCTTCGGGCCCTGGGGCCCTGGGGGCCATCAGCAAGGCGAGGGAAGAGGACAAGGAGTCTGAGGAGGCAGAGGAGGGGGAGGGAGAAGAAAACGGAGTAGAGGATCGCGACTAACGAGGATGCAGAGGAGGATGACGAAGAGAGGTGGAGAGGGGAGGACGGCGAGGAGGTTGGAGGACAAGAAGGAGGAGAAGGAGGAGGAGGACGACGACAATCTCCCTCTGCTCTCTCGTTCCCCACTCCCCCCCCCCCCCGCGATCCTCGGACCTCCTGATCAATATCTCCCTCTCCTTCATTCCCCCCCTCCTCCCACCCTCTCTTCGGCCTCCTCCTCCTCCTCCTCCTCCTCCTCCTCCCACCTCCTCCCCGAAGCCAGCCGCGACGAAGGGGGGCCGCTCCAGCATGTTCGAGGCGCTCTGCAACACCTTGGCCACGTACACGGGCACCCTCCTCGCCAGCTCACGGAGCTCCGGGTTCTCCTCGCCGTCGCCGGCGATTCGTGGGTTTCGGCGTGCTTGGGGGGGGCCCGGCACCAGATGGCACCCAGAAGCTCGCAGAGGCGGCTTCCCTGGATGGCCCCGACATTTCCCATCAGTGCCGGCACCGGGCCCAAAGGAGGCGGTGGAGGACGAGGCGGAGGAGGAGGGGAGGAGGAGGAGGAGGAGGAGGAGGAAGAGGAAGAGGAGGAGTGGAGACGCGTGCCTCAGCAAGGAAGAAGATGAGAAGCAGGATAAGGCGCAGGATGAGGAGGGGGGAGAGGGAGACTAGCGAGAGGGAAGAGGGGGGGGGCGACGGAAGAGGGATATTCGTCCCCACGGGGTGGGGAGGGGAGGACAAGGAGGGGGGAAAGAGAGATGCGGACGGATGATGGAGGAGACGGGAGGAGGGGGCAGGAGGATGAGGGCTTGGAGCAGAAGGAGACGGGAGGGAACCCTTCGCTGGCGGCGCGGCGCATCGAGCAGCTCCCGACGGTGCCCGGCTGACGGGTGTCCCCGGTCCCTGCTCGTCAAATCGCAGGGCAAGACTTCGTTCCAGGTGGCCAGGCCGCTGAATTGTCCTGCGCAGCGCCGCGGGCGCTGCGCTGGAAGAGCTTGCTCCTGTGATGACGGCGGCGGGATGCAGAGCTGAGCACTTGTAGCCCTCGGCCCTCTCTGTAATGCATCGCCTCCAGCCCACCAGGTCAGACATTTGCTGGAGGTGGGCAGCGCGAGAACTTCCTTTGCAAGAGGACATGGTGCTCAGATCGCAGATTCATGGAGGACCGATGCGGGGAAGCACCACGCAGCTTGAATTCAGTTCGGCCACGTGTCACTACCCTTCCCCAAACAGTGCTCACATGTAAGGTTTCTTACTTCTCTTCTGAGGAACTGGGTCCGTCTGCGGGCCTGGCGGCCCCGATCCCGTCCGTCGCCGCCCCTTTTTTTCCACATGAGAAACAAGATGAAGTCCCGGCGGCCCCCCACGTAGATTGTAGATGGCGCCACGTAGCTTGCACCACACAGCTTGCAACACATAGCTTGCACCACTTGCCCCACACAGCTTGCCCCACACAACTTGCACCACATGGCTTGCGCCACGCAGCTGGCACCGCATGACTGCACCGTGTCCTAACTTACTGTTCGGTGGGGTCCACGCTGGCAAGCATATTCTTAAGTGGCACTCATGTAGAATCACGCCTGGTAGCTGGAGCAAGTCGCGCACATCACGCTGCAAGCGGCGAAGCGCGGGCGACAAGTTTTGAATCTCAGCGGCCCTTGCCAGCCCTGGTCGGCTATGCAGGATGCAGGCAGGCGTCCAACTACCAACTATCCGAAGCGCTCGTACGTGACAACGAACTTCTGAGCCGAGGGACTCGCCTTCTCAGCGTTACCACGCGCCTCGGCGTTCAGGGCCTCGGCGGTTCCCCGCAGCCCCTTCACGATGGCGTCGTTGCCACAGACGTAGATGTCAGAAGGAGAAACGAATCGACATACACAAACTTTCGGCGGTCCACGCGGACTCTTCAAGGTCGGCGCCGGGCCCCACTGACTACCTACCAGACCACCGCAACCAAACCCAAGCTTCGGATTGGAGGGGTAAGGATTCCACATGTGTTTTTTTCAATGTTCCCCGACCCCCCCCACTGGACATGGAGGGTAAATTTGGGCCTTCGAATTGGGTTGGGGTGGTTTGGCGGCTGGTGACCCTCTGCCTTCGCGCGCGGAGCTGCCGCCAGGGACGGCGCCGACGCTGCCGCCAGAGGGTGCCAGCTCCGAGCCAAGAGAAACTTTGGTAGGGGCTCGAAGCGTGCACCAACTTGCCATCGCTCATAACCATTCCCCGTGCATTTTTCGGTATCGTGCGTGCTGTTTTGCTCGGGGATCAAGGGTGCTCCTCAATGGTCCCGGCCGGGACAAGATGCACACGTCCGAGCGACACCAAGCCAAGTTGTCTGGCCGGCGGCGAGGGAGCACGGTGTTGATACGCCCCAGCTTCCCAACCTGTGGGGCGCTGGAGCGTCTGTACACAGAATTCCCTCGCCGAACTCCTTGGCCCGTGGGCCGACCACACGGCGTGATGTGTATATATATATATATATATATGTACATCGAGCCTCTCCGGAGCCCGCGCGGATCTCCGACAAATGATGTGTATGCCAACCTAGACACCCGATGTCTTGATCTGTTCAACACGGAGCCCCCGAAGCCCTCTCCCCAGGGCCAGCTTCTCGCCCCCCCCGGCCGCTCTTGGGGGGCTTTCCGGGATCCGACGAGGGCCCCCCCCCCAGACATGCTGCGACGTCCTGATTTTTGCCCATGCGTCGTCCCTGGAAGTCCCGACCCTCTCTGAAGGGGCCCACAAACACACAAATAAATACACACAAATAAAAAGATGCCCCATACTTTCCCATATTTTCTGGGTTTTTGTCTTCCCCCCCACTTCCCATATTTTCCTATATTTTCCTGGGGATCGACGATTAATTGTGTCTGTGTGTTTCTTCCCCTCCTGACTCTCCCCGGGACCGGATTTGCATCCTGAATCGTTTTTGACGGTCCCGCGGCCCGGCGAGGTGTCCCCGAGGCCGGAGTTTGCCAAAAACCTTGCGTCCCGAGGCTTTACGACGCGAACATGTCTGGGCTGTCTGGGCCAGAAGCCGAACACTCTAAAAACATGTAGTTTTGCTTCTTGTCCAGGCGTCGGATGTCTGTGAACGTTCCTCCTTCGAGCTGTGCACCTTCTCCTTCGAGTAAGGGATCGACTACAGAACTGATGTGACCCAAAACCTATTTCCCCATCGAATATACGACGAACGCGTAGAATTCTCGCACGTCGACGGAGAATTCTAAGTATATGTCTGTAGATTCGACGAGAAAACAAATTCTGGGCTAAATCAATCTGGGGATCATCTGACCCGGTTCAATCCAGACACGGATCAGTCAGGCCTTGCAGGATCCCGCAAGATCCTGCAAGATCCTGCGCCCAAGCCTGGGTCAACGTGACGGGTCCTGCAAGATCCTGCAGGATCCTGCACCCGAGCCCGGGTCAATTCGACCCTAGCCCCGCAGGATCCTGCAGGCTCCGGCGCTCTGGCTGCCCCCCGCTTGCATTGACCCCCGTCTCTTGAGCCCCGATCAATTCTGTAAGCGACCCCCTGCTCGACTCCTGGCAGTTCCAATGCCGGCCGATGGCCCTCAACTCCGTCTCGAAGTCCGGGCGGCCAAAGGCGATCGGCACGAGCGGCGCCTCTCCCTCCGCACCGCTCGCCTCTCGGGGAGGGGGGCCCAAACACTGTGTGGGGACAGACCCACGGCGGCGATCTCGACATCCGCAAAGACCTCACCCCAAACATGATCGCGTCGGCCATTTTCGGCCTCGGGGGGCCCTCGCCGGGGCTCAGGGACCGCCCAAAAACGACGCAGGATGAAAAGCCGGTCCCGGGGAACGGGTCGGGATTTCCAGGGACCCCGTCCTGAAAATATCAGGACGTCGCATGTCTTGGAGCGCAGGGTCTGTCACCACACGGTTTTGGGGGACCCTGGAGGCCCCAGTCTTCCGAGCCATCCTCGAAGAACGACCCATTAGTCCCAAAACCGTGCGGCGACCCCGAACCCCCCCCGACTCACCGCACGGTGTGGTCACCACCCCATGTGGCGATCGGCACGAGGGGTGCCTCTCCTGATTCGCCGTGATTCGCACTAGAAGAGCCCCTAACTCTTTGGGAGGGGACGTAGGTTAGGAAGGCCAACAAAAATCAGGGGCAAGGGGCCTTTTCTGCAGACGTAGTATCGAACCAAACCGCCCAGGTGGATTACCCCTGTTGTAAGCACGGGGATCTGGGTTAGGCGACGTCTTTATCGTGTCATTAGGGTTCGGGGCTTCTTTCCCTGCGATCCGACGTCTCGAACAAAAACCAAACAAATCACGACCAAAACTCACGACTGGAGCCCTGGCCCCCATCTTTCTGCGCCACTCTCCGTGGGCGCCCCGGGGCCCCAAACCGGGGCGACGACGCCCCTTGCGAAAAAACGAAAACTGCCACGCCAGGTGCTCATATGGGGGCAAACCAACCTACCTCGCCTTTGACCACCCTCGCTTCCAAAGGGATACCAAGCGATGCCAAACTACGGCCCGTACTGGTCAGGCCGCTTGACGAGGCGGCGCGTGGTATGACCCCCGACCCCCGACGTAATGAATTTTTCATTACGTCGACCCCAGAGTTCTCGACCCCTTCCCCAGGACCGGTTTGTCATCCTGAGTCGTTTTTTGACGCTCCCGAGGCCCGGTGAGGGCCCCAGGAGGCCGAAAATGAGGAAAAACCTCCCGTCATGATTTTTTCATTACTCGAGGGGGTCTGGGACTTGGTTTTGCCTGGAAGCGAAAGCGGGGTAGGTAATGCACGCTCTGAGCTCAGGGCTCCTCCTCGTCGACCTCCCTCCGCGCCGCTCGCCTCGCCCCGCCTCGGCGCCGTGGCCCCGGAGGGCGTCGACGGCGCCCCGCTGCGGCTCCGCAGGAGGCCCCCCGCCCAGCCCTGCGCGGGGGGGCCAGCCCCGCGCACGGGCCCTGGGATTCCGATCCTCGTTCTTGTATGAGGATCCTCGATCGCGATCGAGGACGTCCTCGATATTGGTACGGATCCTCGATCAAGATCGAGGATCTCCTAAAATAATGGCAGATCCTCGATGTTTTACGAGGATCGGATGCCCAGGGGGTCGCGCCGCTCCTGGCCGGGCGCCCTGCCCCGGGGGGCGGGGTCGGTGTGGCCTGCCAGGGGGGCTGCCAACGGGAATGCCGCGCCGGAGCAGTGGCGAAGCCTGCCGCCAGCAGCTGGATGGGAATGAGGCAGGGCTGGACCTGAACGGTGCTTTTTTTTCGTTTTCGCTCTGTTCTCGTTGTCCCTCGTTGCGTCTTCCGTCAGCCTGTACCGCAGAACGACATCGAAACGAAAACGACCCACGAAAACGGTGAGGACGGTGAGGACGGTGCAGATCGAGAGGACGGCGAGGCCCGTGCCAGGTCTGGGGGCGCGACGTGGCTCCTCTTGAGGCGCGTCCAGCCGCGAACGCCCGCGCACGGACCGAGGAACCCATGGGACAAGGGATCCAAAGACCCCCGAGTTCCTGGCGGCCCAAGTCAAGCAGGAACCCTGGGCCAGGGGCCAGGGAATCCAGAGTCCCCTGAGGTCCTGGCGTTTCCGCCCAGAGTCGGGCCCCGGGACCCTCACAGCTCGATCCGGCTCGGAGAATGACACAGCAAGATGGGGTCTGTCTGGGACTCAGGTCGTGATTTCTCACAAGTGTGATTTTTTTCGAGACGTCGTATCTCAGGGCCTGAAAGCCAGCGGAACACCCATTGAGGCCTGACCACGGATATCACCGTCGCCCTCAACAAACGAGGAATCCGTCAAAATCTGAAACCTCCTCGGCACATTCCGCCACCGTCACAGAAACAGTGCCCGGACCCTTGAGCTCAAGTCCGGGTCGACGTCTCAAGTGGTTCAGATGGTCTACGGGGTCGGGAACTTTTGCTCAGCGTGTCGCGGCGGCGGCCCCTGCGACACACTACGCATTCCGAGCGGATTGCATGTCGCCCCGCTCCGCGTGGCGGGAGGCTGGGACAGGCCCAGGACGTTGCCGCTGGGGAGTGGGGACGTGGATACAGCAGGAGCTCGTCCATACGAAACCTCCCGCGAGAAAACCCAACCCTGAGACCCCAGGACGTCCGCTGATTCTTGGCGCGGGAACGTCACGCTTTCCATCGCAAAACCATCCAAACCCGAGAAGCCCAGGGCACCCTGGAGGCAAGCGTGGTGCTTCCTGGCGTGGGCTTCCACCGCATAGCGTGCCGCGCCGAGGCGTGGTGGGCCAGAATTGGCGGAGCGACACGCGAAGCCAGCGTGCCTGGCCCTTCGGGCCCCCCGTGGCCAGGCCCGGGAGAGGGCGTGCCGCACACCGGCCCACGGGCCCGCAGCAGGGACGCGGCCAGGCTCGGTGCGGTCCGACTGCACGCAGGAGCGAGACCCCAGGCAAGAGCGACCTGTTGGTGTGCGGCTTCGGGGGCCGCGGGGGGCCAACTCCAGGCGCGCAGGCCAGAGCAGGGATCGACCCAAACGATGCTCTTCGCTTCAATTTTGCTTTCGCTTCCCTCGTTCTGCCTCCAGCCCGCCTTCGCTGCAGAGAAGAGCCGGAACGGAAACGGCCCACGACATCGCCGAGACACTGTCTAATTAGGTCGACCCCACGCAAGGGCCAGTGCTGGGGGGACATCTGTGAGCCTGCACCAAAGATCACTCCGGCGAATGGTCACTCTTGCGCGAAGTCCAGGAGGCGGGCAACTGACGCCCCCGCCGCTCCGGCGAGGCCGCCGCGTGCGCCGCGTGCGCCGCGTGCGCCGTGCGCGACGAGGGCGTGCCCGAGTGCGGGCACGGGCCCGCGTGCGGGGACGGTCGGGGGTTGCTGAAGGCCGCCCCTGGCCCAAGGAGCCCCCCAGCCTTCGCTGCATGTTGGAGCCCCAGGGACCCTCTGGGCCTCTGGGTCGTCGTCGTCGTCGTCGTCGTCGTCGTCGTCGTCGTCGTCGTCGTCGTCGTCGTCGTCGTCGTCGTCGTCGTCGTCTGCCAGCGGCGGCGGCCGGGGGGGCCTCGCGAGGGGTTCTCTGGAGGCCGCGGGGGCCTCCCTGGAAATCCTCAGGGCACCCCGGGGTCCAGGGGCTCTTCTGGCAACACCCGGGACGGGTCCGCGGGCGGGGACTGCGGCGGCCGGGCGGCGGGCGTGACGTCCAGCACCTTGAGCAGAGGCCGACCGTCCCAGCATTCCTGCAGGCCTACCACGACATGTCTGCAGAACAAAAGACTGTTCTCATCATAAAGGCCGTGCTCCTAGAACAGAAGAGCGATGTGTCAAGACAAGACAGTAGCAGCCAGACGTGTTCCACGAACCTGTCGTGCAAACCACAACCGGTTCCTAGTAGAACACTCCGAGGTGGGCCTACAGGCAAGCCGAGACGCTTCGCCACTCCTTGGAGCGCCGAGGTCAGCGGCGGCGCCGGCGGCGCGGGGCGGCGCTCGCCCCGGGCGTGGCGCTGGCCCGGGCCCGCGGCGGTGGAGGCGTGCTGTGCGGGGGCCGCGGCAGGTCCTCGCGGAGACCCCGGGGCGGGCTGCAGGCGCTCCAGGGCGGCGTCGCGCGCGTCGCCGCTCGCCGTGGTGAGGTCGCTGAGCCACATGACGTCCAGCTCGGACCTGACAGTCAGAACGTGTATCAAGGACGGGTGGTAAGGATACAAGGACCCTTGGAGGCCGAAATTGGGGTTTTTCGGGCGGCGGGCGACGAATGAAGACGGCAAAGAACGGGCCGCAGAGGCAAGGAACCAAGGGCACCCTGGATGAGGGCGCGCGTCCTTACCAGGCGCGTTGACTGTAGCCGCCCCGATACGACACACGCGACACGAAGCGTATTGACACGGAGCTCAACACGTAGACTGAACACGTAGGTCTGACTCGATGCGTTCGCCCAAATCTGGGCCAGCACACTGAGCCAACACGCAACGTATTGACACAGACGTTCTCAGCACGGTATGTGATGCGTTTCGAAACGGGCGTATCGAGGCAGCTAAGGCTCGGACCTGTTGACCCAACACCAGGGCAGCTGTGGGGCCATGAGCACCCGATGGGCGTCGAACTCTTCCCTGAAGGCGGCCTGATCCAACCTGCTCTGGCGCTTGACCGCCTGGCGGAAGAGGAACGCGGCGGCGTCCCCCTCGGGCTCGCGCGCGGTCATGTGCAGGTGAAGGTGGATCTTTTGGCGCAGGCGGTGGCACTGGGCTATGCGCGTCAGGTGCTTCCTTCCGAACAGGAACTCGTCCATGCTGCGGGTCATCCAGAAGAAGTGTGCCTCCTTCATGCGCAGCTCCTCGCTCTCCGAGCTGTCCTCGATCAGGGAGATGAGCGAAGACATCAGCGAAAGGAACGGCGTGATGCCGACGCCAGCGCCCACGGCCACGAGGATGGGGCACGACAGGGCGCTCTGTGCCGGCGCGGCGTACGGGCCGTCGAGCGCGATGCGGGGGAGCTGGACGGAGCCGTCCTGTGCTTGGAGGCACCTGGCGGCCAGCTCCTGCGTCCAGTCGCCCACGCCCGCGATGATGAACTCTACGTGCTCGTCGTTCCTGCCCGAGCAGATGGTGAACGGGTGCCACTGCATCGGGGCGTACTCTGGCATGCACACGAACGCGTACATGCCTGGGGTGAAGGCCCACAGGCCCGTCGGTCTCGTGATCGCCAGATGGGTCAACGCTCCGCTGGGGCCGCCGCCCCTGCCGGGCCTGATCACGGCCTCGGCGATCTGCACCGCCTTGCCCCCGAAAGCGTAGAAGCGCAGCAGGCGCCCCACCCGGTCCGCCAGGTAGAGGCAGACAGGCAGCGTGGCGGTGAAGGCGACGAGGGGAAAACCGACCCCGATCCACTGGTTGGAGCCGTGTGCGAACATCGTGAGCGGCCAGGCGACCAGGACAACGTTGTGCGCGTACCAGAAGCGGTCAAAGTCTGCGGAGCGCGCGCGCGCCCTGCCTGTCCAGCCAAGCAGGACCAGCAGCGCGATCAGAAGCAGGCCGGTGATCCCGGGCGTGGACCGCCAGAGCACGCTCCAGCCCATCCCCTCCGTCTCGGCGCCAAGTGGGCATGCAGGCCACTGCAGCCAGGCGAAGTTTGGAATGCCCTTCAGCTTCTCTTCTCTGTTGGCACATGCGAGTATGGCATTCAGCTTGTGCTTGGCGACGTAATGCACAGCCGGCACGGTGGAGAGGAGGTGGGCCAATACATGGACGGCCGCGGTAACACCGAGGCACTTCCCAAGGAAAATGTGTAGGTCCTTATGGCCATCGAGCACCATCAGCAGTTTGTTGTTCACCCCGAGGAACTTGTAGAACTGCTTCATGAATGTGCGGGCCATGGTCAGGTACATGAGGCCTGTAATGATGGCTGTTCCCATCCCCCCAGCCCGCGCGAAGATGATCGGCCAGGTGAAGAGCTCCAGGATCCCAGCGTACGTGACAAACACCACCCAGCCCGCGTATGCGAAGGAGATGACTGTCAGGAGCATGGCGAGGCACCACTTCACGCGCCGGAGGGTGATGACGTCCACCACCCCCACCCACTCCTCCATTACGTCGGCCCGCCTTGGTGGGGGAGCGAATTCGTGCTTTCATCCAGCTTACAATCTCGGGGGAATTAAAATTCGCCGCTCCGGGAGGCCCTTCCAAGTTTTTGGGCACGCCGTTCCGCCGCACGCTCGAGGGCCATCGTTCGCGCCAGCTCGCAGGCCACACATTCCCACCTCTGAGCCCGACGAACCCAGAGATCCGATGTCGTGATTTTTTCAATACGGGGTCCCTGGAAATCTCGACCCATTCCCCAGGACTGGCTTTGCGTCCTGAGTCGTTTTTTGATGGTCCCGGGGCCCGGCGAGGGCCCCTCGAGGCCGAAAAATGCGAAACACCTCTGTCTTGATGTTTTCAATACGCTGGACCTCTGAGAACGCACCCAATGTTGGCACCTGCTGAGCGCACCTCTTAGATTTCTCCCACCGCCTGCGCTCTCTGCCTGGGCCGGCCCTGCCGCGGAACCTCGGGTCCTCGTCCGCCTGCAGGTCGTGGAGCTCCTGGCCGTTGACCTCGGTCCGTCGCTGCGGCGCGGCTGGCGGCTGCTGGCCGCGCTCTCGGCCGCAGACATCCGATGTCTTTTTATTTTTTCGAACAAAAGTATTATTTTCAAAGGAAGCCCAGGGCCTTGTGGGTCTCTCGAGTGAAATAGGGGGCTGTGGGCCAGACATCCGATGTCTTGATTGCTCCAACGCGGGGAAGTCCCGACCCTTTCCCGGGGCCTGATTTTTTTCATCGTCAGACGTGCTCTGAGGGTGCAGAGGCCGAACGTGACGGATAAAGTCTCCGCCCCGATGTCGTTCAACACGTCGGATGTCTGGGACGGCGGGAGACCCCGGGATCGAATCGATAAGTCGGGTCGGCGATCGAAATGGATCGGATCGGCGGAAATTGGTAGCCAAATCGGAAGAAAACGAATCGTCCGAAACCAACGGGCTGAAGGGGCCTCCGTTGAGAAACAGGAATCCACATCGGAATCGATCGAAGCCGACTCGAACCGAGTCAGAGGAGCCGAAACGAGCCCTGGGATGATGGGCCCTGCGATCGCTGCGACGAGCGCAGGAATCTGCAGCGCGTGCTTCCACAGAGGGGCGATCGGACCCCGCCGTCGGGTGGCGTGACCGGCCCACCCCGGCGGTCTGCCACGGCGCGCCCGTGCCGTGCCCCAGGGCCCTGGTCTCCAGCTCCCCGCGAGCCGCCCGGCCCCGAGCCCTCCCCATTCGGGGGTCGTTAGAAGTGCCCCTGGCCCGAGGTGCCCCCAGCCCTTCGCTCAATTTTGGCGCCCCTGGGGCCCTTTCTGGGCCTCGCGAGGGGTGCTCTGGAGGCCGTGGGGGACTCCTTGGAGATCCTGTGGGCACCTCGGGCCAGGGGCACTCCTGGCAACACCC